TTCTCAGGAGCAGCTTTAGCGATTAATAAATGTAAAATCTTACATATTTGTAAAAAACACCACTGCAATTATCCTCCATTGATATATGACAATTGTACTATTGAATTCACTGACAACCTTAAACTACTAGGTGTAATTTTTGATAAAAGGTTTACATTTAAGCACCATTGTAAGTACGTGAGAGAAAGTCTAAACAAACGCCTCAACATAATTAGATTCCTTAGCTCCAGGCGCTCGATGGTTCATCCGACAATATTAACACAAGTGACTAAGGCTCTTATGCTGTCCAAGATCGATTACGGGTTACCGATATACGGATGGTGTGCAAAGTCAAACATCCGACTTCTTCAATCCCCATATCATACGGCTGCCCGGCGGAGTATTAATGCCTTTCCAACCAGCCCCACCAAATGTATACTAGCTGAAGCGGGACTGCCATCAATCTCCGAAAGAGTTCTACAAACAACGCTCAAACTCATACCAAAACTTTTGTGCACAACCAACACCATTCTTCGAAATGACGTAAAGAAAGCAGCTAAGAGCGTACGAAAGTTTAAGGTGACATCCACCCTACGCAGAAGTATATCTCTCTGCAAGCAATACGACATTGCTACGAGCTCGCGTAATAGAATCAGCCCAACAGCTCCCTGGCTGCTAAAGCATTCATCATTCAACACGGTACTCCAGCAGTATAGCAAACCAACTACCAACTCTGCAATTTACAAAAAAATATTCGCGAAAGAGGCAGCTGAACTCAACGCAAACAATTGGCAATGGTTATATACAGACGGATCGAAAAGCGAATCAGTCACGGCATTCGCTGTCATCAATTCCAAAGGAGCCGACATATCAACAGGCATACTTCCATCCTACTACTCAGTGTTTTCAGCTGAAGCAGTCGCAGTATTTGAAGCGGCAAAATATGCGCAGTCCAACAAAGGAAAATTTGTCATAGCCACTGACAGCCTATCAACCATCTCGGGAATACAAAATATTTACAGTAACAATAGTTTACTCGCCGAGATACGCGAGATTTGTGTCAAATCTCCCAGAAAAATCAAATTGATGTGGGTTCCCAGTCACAAAGGAATACACGGCAACGAGCTTGCTGATACCGCTGCCAGAAACGCTAGTATACGCCCCTGCCACATGATTGTCCCTGGCATTGAAGAAGATATTTCCAACAAAATAAAAATGATCAACCAAGAAGTGGAGTCAAATGAGTGGTCGTCTTTCAACCACACATATAAAGCCATCAACCCATATAAAAACAGCATCCGCTTCCCAGCCGACTTAAATCGCCGCGACTGCAGTGTGGTAACCCGTATGAGAATTGGCCACATAAAAATATCACACTCACACCTCTTAACCGGAGAAAATAGATCAATATGCCCAAGATGCGGACTAACCCCAACCGTTACACATCTACTGGATGACTGTAAGTCACTGGACAACATCAGGCGTCAACACTTCAACTCAAAAACACCGTCTTCGCTACTTAAAGATATAAACTCCTCGAATATTAATATTGTCACGTCATTCCTTAAATCTGCCAAGTTATACCACCTTATATAAGGCAAAGCATCGTTCGTATAATTAATGAATGGAAATTTTTTATTTTTTATTTTTTTTTTTCCATATACATATGTACACTAAGCTTAATTCAATTCGCTTTTAATATAGGGTCTATGCAACTAGTACCCATAAGTTTCCTTTTTTTAATTAGTTATAATATTATAGTAATATGTATTATAATTAATTGTTGTAAATAAATAAATAAAATTTGGCAGCTGACTACAAATATACAACTTAACAGCTGATAGTTTAAACTCGGTTTAACCCACCCAGATTGGGCGTTTAAACTAAGTTAAACTACGTTTAAATTTTACTGAAAAACTGCACACTGATTTTAAACTTAGTTTAAACGACAGATTAAAACTCGGACTAGAAATTTGGCACGGGCCATCTTTTCAACTAGTGGCCGGAATTCAACGTATAAGGTATCGTTGGAAAGTTATTGAAATGTAGAATAACACTCCCCTCTCTATCCCTCTTTTTAATATTATATATTCAGTGCTCACGCAAATATGTGTTCCTTTTGCTAAAAAATGAAAGTACATAACTTGGTTTTAAAAAAATAATAGAATTTAGAGATCGCTCAAGTCCATTTTAATATTACTTAGAGCTACTCGTTCTTCAATTCGTGCGCAGGCGAAATTTTCAAGAAATTTAAATTTTATAAGATCTTATAACATGCTCTCGAGGCCGCTGAATATAATAGGAAAGTTACTTTTTCGATCAGGCTCCTACCTTTTTAGATATTGCGAAAAAAAAAATTAAAAAGAAACGAGAAAAAATTTCGAAATTTCAGTTTAAAAGTTGATTATTTCTTAGAAAAAAACGTATTTAATTTAATGTCAGTAATGATGTTTATAGCTGCATTTTTAGCAAACCAAATAAATCATAGCAGAGAATTTTACGTTCATACCTTCTCGAGATATCGGCAAATTATTGAACCTTAATCTAGATGCGTGGCGGCTACTTTTTGAGGTGTTATCTGATGTTTTCAAGGTCACAGAATGCGCTGAACTAGTTTTTTTGCTTCGTATCAGATGTTGAGAAACAACTTAAAAAAACGTAAAAAATATGAAAAAGTAACAGAACATAATTTTCTCGATTACTGAAGAGGTCCACCAATCTTTTTTTTTATATTATTCAGGGTTACGAAAATTTGTGTTCCTTTTGGTAAAAAATTACCTAGCATGATCAAAAAAATAAATAAAACATTTAAAACGTAACTCAAGTAAATTTTATACACAAAATGTTATTTCTCTAAGTTTCTAATTAATTTAATAAGGACTGCAGCAGAAAAGATTAATGGCAGTGAAGTAATGCCTGAAATAAACTTTATTTGAGACTAATAATTTGCAAACAAATGTATTATTAAATTGGTTAATATTTTATTTTCCAATATTAAACCAAATGCCTAGAAATCTTAAATTAAAGAAGTTTTGGTTCTGCTGTTCGAATGCTACTTTGAGCGAAACAGCTGTTCTCCAATTCGGTTTAAGTGGGAGGGGTCTTTATACATTATTTTTAACTGTCTGAAAAAGAAAATAAGTAATTTTTAAGCAAAAAACAAAACCGACTTCAATTCCCGTATACAAATTTAAGATCATTGCTAATTTCTTCATGACGCAATGATCGGATCTTAACCAAATTAGTATGGGACCACCTGTGAGGTAACACCTTTCCTTTAAAAAAGAAATATAGAAATCGGTTAACGTGGTCCAAAGTTATGGGGTAACATACATACATAAAAAAAAATTTATAAAATAAATAAATAAAAATATTCCGACGAACTCATAACCTTCTCCTTTTTGAAGTCGGTTAAAAAAGAAAAAACTACTACTTACTACTTGTTTCCGCACTCATTGCTTTATGCTAACTAAATGCAAGTTGATAACGTTAACCAAATGCAAAATGATTAAAAAAGTATTTTTATTAAAAAAAATTTGAAGTTTTTGCATAAGAATCGATACGACATAAGCACCATTGAGATTACTAAGGTAAACACATACCTCTTCAGGAATCAAGAAACATTTTTTTTTTTATTTTTTACGTTTTTTTTAATATTTCTCAATACGTGACGTTGAAAATATCAGATATAACTTCAAAACATCTTGCAAACGCCAAAAATTTAAAGCGGTACGTTTTCTAAATGCAGGTATTAACCACACATTTATATTCAGGTTCAAAAATTTCCCGATATCTCGGGAAGTTATGATCATAAAATTCTCTGCTATGACTCATTTTGTTTGTTAAAAATGTGGATATAAATATCATTACTGACATAAAATCAAATACATTTTTATTCTAAGAAATAATCAACTTTCAAAGTGAAATTTCGGAATTTTTTCTCGTTTCTTTCGTTTCAGAATATCTAAAAAGGTAGACGCCTGATCGAAAAAATAACTTTCCTATTATATTCAGCGGCCTCGAAAGCATATTATAATATATTACAAAACATCAGTTTCCTGAGGGATTTCGCGTGCGCACGGATTGAAGGACGAGTAGCTTTAAGTAAAATTAAAATGGACATAAGCGACCAAGTTATGTACTTTAATTCTTTAGCAAAAGGAACACAAATTTGCGTGAGCACTGCCTAATTTTAAAAAGAGGGACCACTCTAGTGTACCCGCATGCCCTTGTACTGTACTTTTTTCGCAACCCTTTAACCTAATTTTTAAGAATTCGGAGGACCATTTATGAAACTTTAACACATTTTCTGAACCCACGTTGCAAGACGATACCTCAAACATGTCGAAGTGTTGATTAGGGGAGTCGTTTTCAATGAAAAAATCTTAATTGTATGTACATATATATATTTTTTGTTATACATACTTGTCAACGGTTTCATGTTAATTTGGGAGGACAAGATGTTAAATTTTCTACTCTTCAGCAGGTGATCGCCGAAAATAAACTTTATATAAGTGGAGCGCGTTCTCAAAGACAAACTTTTGGAACATATACGAATTTGGTATTTTACGTAACCTCGTTAGATAAACCATAATTTTGTAACGGAGTGTAAATGTAGAAAAGTTAATCAAACAAATGCCCATAGCATACGACAAGGCTCCATCCTCAAGAGTAGTCGGCTTACACAGCCGCATTTTTTTAACAAAGCCAAATAAACGCAGTTCATATTATAACAGGTTTGTATTTGAACCTTTCAATACACGTACATACCCTGTTAGATAGTTTCCTAATAATTTCATAATTTTGATTTTACTTAGTACGGGAAGAGGGGCACTGAAATTCAATACACCGAAAGCATCACAAAAGAATAAAAAAGTACTAAAGAAACAGCGGATAAATGCATTGTTATTGATTTTCAAAATTTTACGCTGCTTGAGCAAATCCTGCAACAGTTTTTGGCATTATTATACTTAAAATCTCATCTGTTGGTGGTTGAAATAATTATTTGTGTATTGCTTGGAGTAAAGGTGCGGTTAAACGTGGCAATGCAAGCTCTTTTTCTACGCATTTTGCTATCAAAATGCGAAATCGAAAGTCTACTTTCCCGTGTTAACAGGTCACAAAGTCCAGATTTGCAGAAATTGCTTTTGGAAATAAAACTTCCAAGGTGTAACTGCAACTGAAATTACGCAAATCGCTTTGGAGGAATAATTGCAACTTATATGAAATTATAATAATGTGGAATAAAATATGAAAAATACGTGTAATTAATTTATTCTACAGATGTGGAGTATTTGAGTATTAATGGGCCGTATGCATAAAACTTAAGCAAATGCTTTTTTCATAAAATTTCAGACCTTTTGCTCGATTTGTTCAAATAAATTTAAGTAAAAGGTATGCAATTTTAAGTAAAAGCAATGCTTATGCATACGGCCCAATGTATTAGACATTTTGTGACTGTTTTTGGGCACAAGCAGGTTTAGTAAATTTTTCAGGTCATTAATTTTGTTATAAGCATAAAAATGTCACGTAACATAGTTGAAAGTGGACTTGTCTGCATTCACCGTGTAAACAGACAAAAAGTAGTATAGAAAAGTTTGATTTTCAGAAATAAAAACTGCTTTCGAAAGCCACTTTACATGCAAGGTGTTACTGCTCCTGCAATCTCTTCTGGAAATTCTTGAGTTTGACAGACTTTTGAAAAGGACTTGCACTTGCCAAGTCTAACAGCTTCTTAAGAATATGCACACACATTAGGATGGTTGTTTTTTGCCAAATTCATTTATTGATTCGGATCGTCGCACAATGCCTCCTTTCATATAAGAGTGGGGCAAGATATGAAAATATATGAATTATAACGAAAATTTAAGTATCACAAAATTTGGGGACCAAGGCGAAATCATATAGGGTGGTATCCATTCAACAAATACAAAAAGTACTTGTATTTGGTTTTTGCTTTTAGCGTGCCATTGTCAAATTTCAGCTATTATTTCCCGAAGGAAAAAGGCGGGAGAAAATAATAGACACTCTCACGTTCTCGCTCACTCACTAGCGAAATACAAAATTTTTACAGTCACACGCTATTCACAGCTGATGAAACAACACCACCATTTATGAACTCGCCTTATTGGGGACGTTGAATTCAAATAGATACATATCTGTGGAAATTTGACAAAACAACTTAAGTCTATCTTTCACGGATAAACTAAATATCATATGTCGACAAAACATATTTTACCGCCAAAGAGAAAAAAGTTATAATTCGAAAGAAATATTGAAATATTTTATCACTATTCACAACCTTTTAAATGTCTCTGTGTTCAACACCTGAATGCTTTCAGCGAATTAAAATTGATTTCTCTGACGGTAAAAATAGTTTTGCTGACATATGCTATTTGGACGTCCGTAAACCAAGCTGACCCAGTTCGACAAAAATCGATAAAAATTATCGAGGACTAACTAATTTACGTGATCCATTGGTTTCCAAGAAATTCGCAAAAATGTGCTGGTCAGCTGGGTTAACGTTAACGAAGCTGACTCATCTTTAAATTTTAGTTTTAAATTTTCCAAATATATGCTATATTAGGTGTCTTTTAGGTGTTCTTCAACGCCACAAAAACTAATTTAGTAGCTCCATTGGTTTCTGAGAAATTCGCAAAAATTTGTTGTTCAGCTAGCTCGGTATTTGATTTTCGAAATATATGCAGGAATTAGGTGTATTTTAGGAGTTCTTCAACGCCACCAAAACTAATTTAGGAGCTCCATTGATTTCCAAGAAATTCGCAGAAATGTGTTGTTCAGCTAGCTTAGCGCTATTAATCTAGGTCAGATAGATCTTTAAATTTTGGTTCAAGTGGTTTGGTTTTGATTTCCAAATATATGCTGAAATTAGGTGTCTTTTGGGTGTTCTCCAACGCCACCAATACTAATTTAGGTGCTCTATCGGTTTCCGAGTAAATCTTAAAAATGTGTTGGTCAGCTATGCTAACGTTAAGCTAGCTGACCAATCTTTAAATTTTGGTTTTAAATTTCCCAAATATATGCTAGAATTAGGTTTCTTGTAAGTGTTCAAAATAAACATTTAGTAGCTCCATCAGGGATGATAAATACGTTTTTTAATTTTGTACCAAATGGCAAAAAAAAAATGCACCACATCAGCTGAAAAAGTACCAACATATATGTTTTTAAGTTAGGTAAATTTCTCTATAGGTACGTTCGTTTAAAATCTCCAGTAAAACTCGCCCAGCAACAAAATTCCTGTGAAATGGTGAAATCTGTTCTCTAACAAGAGAAAAATATCCAGGATAGTATGCGAACAGAAAGTTTGCAGAAACCTTCAAGCAATCCGAATATTTGATGAAATTTTTGTTTTCATTCAAAAATGTAAAAAGAAAAAATTCTTCATCAACTTAAAGTTCAGGCCTCCGGATCACTGTAGCGTTTTCCAAGCAGAGGTAGCCGCAATACAGGAGGCTTCGGATTGTTTGCTCTCTAGTGTATTACCTCTACAAAACAGGGAACACTTGAGAAATTGCTCAAGGTCTGGGTACTCCCCTGACCTCTTGCGGTCTACGTTTGGACAGATGGGCATGTAGCCAGCTAAGCGTACCCTGGAATGCAGGGCGGCTAAGTCCTTCTGGTCACGTGTAGACCGAGGGCGGTCCAGGGAGCTCGCGAGACTAAGCAAGTTACACTTCTCACTTCTGGTGGAAGTTCTAACTGGTCATTGCGTGATAGGTAAGCATGCAGTCAGGCTGAATATCATCGATGACCATGAATAACTACCCTTCATAAAAAAGTCATCAATTGATTAAAATAACCAACTTCCAGTTAGCTTTTTTGTGGGATTTCGATAAATAACTAACATTTAATTAGCTACGACAAAACTAGCTTTAAGTTAGTTGTAAAATTGAACAGCATGCATGCATGTCTGCATGACGCAGACGTTATCGTGAGTTTGGTTTCTTTACAAGTTGCTATTTAAATATTTTCATACAAAAATTACTTTCAATACATTATTTTTCTGCACTTCGCAGATTCTTTTAGGACAAATAAAATAAAGGTCGAAATTTTATATTAACATTTTGATGTTCTGTCTGATCGAATTCAATTATGAGATCACCTAAAAAAGAACATGTAAACAAATAAGCCAATATGTAATGTTAAATAAAATAAGTAAATAAATAAAAATATAAAAAATTTAAAAAATCTTTTTTTATTGATATTTCATGTCCAAAAGTAGTTAGCCATAAGTTAGTTGACATCTAATGCAGAGGAAACCAGTTCTAACTATTTTTCGGCCATCGCCCTTCAAAAGTAGTTAGTTACGGCCAAAGGAAATAGTTAACAAATAGTTACCACAGTCGACTGCTACTTAGTTAATAGTTAGCTACAAACTAGTGCCATTTTCTGCAGGGTAGTTTTAAAGGGCCAACAAACCCCTAAGAATACAATTCTGGACGTATGAAAATCATTTTGTGAAGTTGTACTCTAAGCNGATAGTATGCGAACAGAAAGTTTGCAGAAACCTTCAAGCAATCCGAATATTTGATGAAATTTTTGTTTTCATTCAAAAATGTAAAAAGAAAAAATTCTTCATCAACTTAAAGTTCAGGCCTCCGGATCACTGTAGCGTTTTCCAAGCAGAGGTAGCCGCAATACAGGAGGCTTCGGATTGTTTGCTCTCTAGTGTATTACCTCTACAAAACAGGGAACACTTGAGAAATTGCTCAAGGTCTGGGTACTCCCCTGACCTCTTGCGGTCTACGTTTGGACAGATGGGCATGTAGCCAGCTAAGCGTACCCTGGAATGCAGGGCGGCTAAGTCCTTCTGGTCACGTGTAGACCGAGGGCGGTCCAGGGAGCTCGCGAGACTAAGCAAGTTACACTTCTCACTTCTGGTGGAAGTTCTAACTGGTCATTGCGTGATAGGTAAGCATGCAGTCAGGCTGAATATCATCGATGACCATGAATAACTACCCTTCATAAAAAAGTCATCAATTGATTAAAATAACCAACTTCCAGTTAGCTTTTTTGTGGGATTTCGATAAATAACTAACATTTAATTAGCTACGACAAAACTAGCTTTAAGTTAGTTGTAAAATTGAACAGCATGCATGCATGTCTGCATGACGCAGACGTTATCGTGAGTTTGGTTTCTTTACAAGTTGCTATTTAAATATTTTCATACAAAAATTACTTTCAATACATTATTTTTCTGCACTTCGCAGATTCTTTTAGGACAAATAAAATAAAGGTCGAAATTTTATATTAACATTTTGATGTTCTGTCTGATCGAATTCAATTATGAGATCACCTAAAAAAGAACATGTAAACAAATAAGCCAATATGTAATGTTAAATAAAATAAGTAAATAAATAAAAATATAAAAAATTTAAAAAATCTTTTTTTATTGATATTTCATGTCCAAAAGTAGTTAGCCATAAGTTAGTTGACATCTAATGCAGAGGAAACCAGTTCTAACTATTTTTCGGCCATCGCCCTTCAAAAGTAGTTAGTTACGGCCAAAGGAAATAGTTAACAAATAGTTACCACAGTCGACTGCTACTTAGTTAATAGTTAGCTACAAACTAGTGCCATTTTCTGCAGGGTAGTTTTAAAGGGCCAACAAACCCCTAAGAATACAATTCTGGACGTATGAAAATCATTTTGTGAAGTTGTACTCTAAGCTACCAATACAAATGAAGATATCAAGGCAAGCAACAAAAGCATTCAAGTATGTTTATGAAGTGCAAGTAACACAAAAAATAGTTTACAAAAAATAATTGAATTCAATGCAATCATTCTAAGTTTCAGAAAAATATAGTGCAAAATATTTAGTCTTTCCTACGGTTTATATTATTACAGCAACTGTTTATTGATTTTAGTAAGTCTTTCGTTTTTAATAAACACCACGTCTTGTATGAAGTGGAAAAAGATGAGTATACTTTCATCCACATTCAAGTTCTCAAGTATACATAGTGGTATTTCGACAGAATTTGGCGCCGTGCCGTATTTTGACAAAATTGTACCAAAAATGTCGATGTAGTACCAATGTACTTTTGAGATTCAAAATGTACCTAAAAAGTATAATTGTACCATCAATTTCATCACTGAGCTCCATTGCTTTCCGAGAAATTCACAAAAAGTTAAGAAGTTGAATCTCATGCGTACAGGTGGCTTTGTTGTTCGAATTTGCGCTAGTCCCCTTTCAGACACGTCAAGTCTTGCTTTCAAGTCTGCTCGTTCGTTGGTGAAGGAGGTGGGAAGAGAGGGGAAGAATACAGATACCTCCGTACCGTCAATTCGTTTCAAGTTTTCTTGTTCTCTTTTGATCTTTTCGTTGCTTCCCATTTAAAGATCCGAGGACTTGAATTCAATAAAACTTGACGCGTGTGGAAGCAAAGAGAAAACACAAAAGAGAATGCGATAAAAATTGCTTTCAAGACTTGACGTGCCTGAAAGGGGACCTAGCTCACTTCTTTTATATCTTGGAAGCGCACATCACATCTAAAATTTGCCAGCAATTTCAAAGGAATTTCGTTTCATTCCACCCTCGAGTTCTACGACTACAAAGCGCCTGAATCGGAGCAAATGACGAGAGCAGTGGATAATGTGAACTAATTAAAACCAAACCTGTTCACATTCGCGAATTTCTTCGCTTTTGTGAATGTCAAACTTAAAGGCCAGTAAGGAAAGCAAAAACTCCATATAAAATAACGTACAAAAAATGGCTAAGAAATTTTCTTGAGTAAAACTTCCTTAAGGCAGTACGCAGTTCTTAAGAATTTTGCTCCGCTTTCTACTACGGTTTTCTAAAGTTTTTTGTAAAAAAAAGAGCACAAGGCAACCAATGTTTGATACAGATATATATACCCGTTCCATTATTTCTTGAGGAAAGAGTGAGGCAGCAGGCTGTGACGTATGAGATTGCAAAATTTCTTGGACACACTTACACACGAAATAATGGAAATTTTTTTTCTCGGCTGTTTTCTTGAGAGCTGCATTTTCATCGCCATTTCATACCAACTATGCATTTTAAAATGGATATTTACATTTACGAACAAAATTTTATGAATTTATTTCAAAAAATAACGGAATACACCTAGTAAAAAAAATTTGAAGTCTTCATTTGAAACCAAAATTATTTCAATAAAATTCTTCTTACCTTCACAAGAACGAAGCCTCGGAAACCAATGTAGCACCTAAATTGGTTTTGGTGGCATTGAAGAACACCTAAAACACACCTAATTCCTGAATATACCCCAGTAAAATAATTATATGTGCAATATTTCAACTAGTTTCAATGAAAAGCCAATAATAGATCTTTGATGTCTTTCCCCAATAATTGTATTAATTAATTTTATCAAAATATTATAAAAACAACTTTATAAATACGTAAGTACAAGATAATTTAATTGTACTATTATATACCATTATATTATAAACAAGTTTTAGGTAATTTAAAAAAAAAGTTTGGAAGATAATTTTAATTGTTGGTTTTGGATTGTATTTCTG